TCATGTTCCTCCCCCTCTCCCTCACCTATAGGACTGAGAATTCCTGCGGTCTCCTGAGATCAGTTTCTTTCCCCCCGATTGTATACAAACTGTGGAAAGTTTTAGTTCTTGTTGACTCCACGACCCACATTAGTCAGGCAGAAGCCCCCGTGTACAAGGTACCCGTTGAGCCTTGGCAAGGTGCATGACACACACTTGATTACTGGAGAAATGATGAGTAGACAATGACAAATAGAAGAGGGGAGCTTTGAGCCTGAGCTCTCTGGAGCATAAGAGTGGTTGAGGTTTGGCACTTGCCACCTAGATTTCACACAACGTGTCAGGAATCCTGGATGCCCAGAAAGAAACCTGTTCCACGGCTGGAGCCCCAACATAGAGCTTTCACTTAGGCAGTGTTGAGCAATAATATGTGGTTGGAGCTTTGCAGAGGGTCCCCATAGGTGCATTGCGTAACGAAGCTGTGGGAGAAAGGTCTCACCCCTAACAATTCCAGAATTATAAATCTACCAGCCGCTTGCAACTTCAGCGTGGAAAAGCCAGGGGCATTAAACTCCAAACTGTGAGAGCAGCCATGTGGGCTGAACCCTGCAAAGCCACAGGTACAGTGCTGCCCAAAGCCCCAGAAGCCTACCCCCAGCACCAGTGTGCCCAGAATGAAGGATATGGAGTCAGGAAGATGATTCTGCAGCTTTAAGATTTAATTTCTGCCCTGTTGAGTTTATGACTTGCATGAAGCCCCTTCTTCTCTTTCAACTGATATTTCCCTTTTGAAATGAGATTGTTCAACCGCTGCATATAAAACCATTGTAATTTTGAAGTAAATAACTTGTTTTTGATTTTACAGGCTCACAGCTGATAGAAATTTGTCTTGCATCTCAGATAAATCTTTGCATTTTAGACATTTAAGTTGCTTCTCAACCTGATAAGGCTTTGGAGATTCTTGAGATAAACTGATTGGATTTTGTATGTAAGAAAGAAGTTTATGTCTTCAGCTTTTTGTCCTTTATATCCTCAACTAACAATATTTTGGGGTGTCTATGATTTCTTGCTAAAATTTGGATTCCCGTTTCAATTTATCTTGTGCATAGTCTGTAATTATTTTATTTGTAGTTACCATTGACATGACATACTGCATCCCATAGTTATACCATCCACTTTGAAATCCCAATGTGAATTTAACTTCGATTCCATTCAAAAACTCTACTTTTCTACAGCTATGTTTCCACTTCACATTATTGATGTCACTAATTACAACTTTATACATGGTGCATATGTTAACAGAAATGTATTCTTATTCGTACACATTTGTAAAGTAATTCTTGAAGAAAATGAGAGTAAAAAGAAAATTTCATAAATACATGTTTCCATGTTTTTCATACACCTACCTTTACGAGAGGTCATTATAACTCTATATGACTTCATGTTGCTGTCTAAAATTCGTTCATTTCAAAGTGAATTGCTCTCTTTAGCATTTCTTATAGGGCAGTTCTAATGGCATAGAACTCCTGCAGCTTTTACATCACATAGTCTTAATAACTTTTTGTTTTTAAGAAATAATTTGGCTGGGTGCGGTGGCTAATGCCTGTAATCCCAGCACATTGGGAGGCCAAGGTGGGTGGATCACACAGTCAAGAAATAGAGACCATGCTGGCTACCGTGGTGAAACCCTGTCTCTACTAAAAATACAAAAATTAGCTGGGCGTGGTTGTGCACACCTATAGTCCCAGCTACTTAGGAGGCTCAGGCAGGAGAATTGCTTGAACCTGGGAGGTTTAATGAGCTGAGATCACATCCCTGCAATGAGCTGAGATCACACCACTGCACTCCAGCCTAGTGACAGAGCAAAACTGTCTCAAAATAATGATGATGATGATAATAATAATAATAATTTTTTGCCAAATATGGAGTTATTGGGTGAAATTTTTTTTAATTGATCACCTTAAATATATCACCTACTATATCCTCCAAAGACTCTCATAAGAAATCTGTGGATTACCTTGTCCAGGAAACCTTGTACCCCATGAGTCATGTTTCTCTTCCTACTTTTTGTTTTGTTTTGTTTTGTTTTCTTTCTTTATTTTTTTTTAGGGGATGGAGTTTTGCTCTTGTTGCCCAAGCTGAAGTGCAATGGTGCAATCTCAACTCACTGCAACCTCCGCATCCTGGGTTTAAGCTATTTTCCTGGCTTAGCCTCCCAAGTAACTGGAATTACAGGTGTGCACCCCCATGCCCGGCCAATTTTTTGTATTTTTAGTATAAATAGTGTTTCACCATGTTAGCCAGGCTGGTCTCAAACTCCTGACCTCAGGTGATCCACCCACCTCAGCTTCCCAAAATCTCTTGCTATGTAAAGATTATCTCTGTCTGGTTTTTAGAGTTGGATGATAACACATATAGGTCTGAGTCTCTTTGAGTGTATCCTATATGCAGTTCTTTAAGTTGCCTGAATTTGTAGATTCTTGTCTTTAACCAATTTGAAAAAATTTTGATGATTTTATTCTCCAAATAATCTCTCTACCACCATGGGTTTGCACTTCTCCTTCTGGGAATCCAGTACTATCATACTGGTTGGCTTGAAGGTGTCCCATAAGTCCCATAGGACCTGTTCACATTTCTTTATTCTTGTTTGCTGTCCTTAGACGCAGGAATTTCAAGTGTGGTATCCCTATGTGCATTGAACATATCTTCATCCTTCTCAAATTTGCTACTGAAACACCCACTGGTGAGTTTTTCATTCAGGTATATTTTTTAGCTCCAATTTATTTCCTTTTCTTTTTTATAGTTTCTGTATTATGACTATATTTTGATTTTCTTACTTTTTCAGATTTTCTGTAGTTCTTAATCCATAGTTTTCATTAGCAATTTTAGCATATTTAAGACAGCTGTTTAAATGCTTCTCAACTAATTTTAATGCCTGTGATTCTTCAGGAATGATTTCTATTAATTTATTTTCTTTCCCATAATGGACTGTGATTTCTTGTTTGTTTGTATGCCTTGCTATTTTATTTGGTTTTTTTTGCGCCGGAGTGTTGCTCCGTCACCAGGCTGGAGTACAGTGGTGCCATCTTGGCTCACTGTAAACTCTGCTCCTGGGTTCAAGTGATTCCCCTGCTGTAGCCTCCCGAGTAGCTGGGACTACAGGCATGTGCCACCATGTCCGGCTATTTTTTTAATTTTTATTTTTATTTTTTTTTTTAAGTAGAGACATGGTTTCTCCATGATAGCCAGGATGCTCTCAGTCTCCTGACCTTGTGATCTGCCCTCCTTGTCCTCCCAAAGTGCTGGGATTACAGGTGTGAGCCACTGCATCTGGCCTGTATGCCTTGTTATTTTATTTAACTGGGCATTTGAAAAAATAAAACATCTTTTTTAGTGTATATAGATTTGTTCTGTCATGACAGTCACCAACTCATAAGTGTGGCAGGTTCTCAGTCAAGGCATCAGCCCTACATAAAACCTCAAGGCCTTCTTAGTTTGTTTCTGAACATGCACCTACATGGATTGTTTTTGCCATTTTATTTTTCACCAAATAACCAATGGCTTTTGAATCACTTGCTGTTACAAAATTTTGTATCCCAGTTTCTCCTCAGTGGCTTAGATGGACTATTGCATGTCTCTTCTCCTAGTGTTTTGCCTGTAACATCTGTATGTGTATAGTCACCCTGAGTCTCTACTGAGCCACTCCATAAATAAATAAGTTTATTTCACTCAATTTTAGATATTTTCTGATGTTTCCATGAGTCATATGGGAGTCTTATAATCCACCATCTTGTTGAAATTATCCTCTGTGAAAAATTTCAATATCTTTATAATATTACATTTATGTCAATGTATAACAATTTACCTATGTTTCAATTTCTGTTTGTTTTATGAAAAAGCAAATAGAAGCAATCAGGGCACTGCAAGTTGTGACTACTCCAAGGTGTGAATCATGGATCATGCAAATTACATTCACGTTCTAACCTGCCCTCCAAAGGGAGGATAAAGTAAAAATTATCCCATGTGAGGATTATTCACCAGTTTATATGTCATTAGTTACCAGTTTTTCTTTATGAATAGTGTTTAACAATATTATAAAGTATATCTAATAGTTATCAGGTTTTTGGCTTGTTACTTTTTGATAGTAACTTATAAAACTGGCTGGAAAAGACAAATAAGATAAGGCACAGTTTGCGTGTTACAAATTATATCCAAAGTCCAAAAGCTGTTAATAAGAAATCCTCCAGTAAAACCACATGAAATTTTATTTTTTATTTACACCCACATCGGGATTACAAGTTTATTGGGACTGCACCTTGATCAGGAAGGGATATTTCTCTTACAAGGCTAATAAGAAAGAAACAATAAATTTGCTGATGAAAACAGTAATGCATTTAAAAATTTTAACTTTAGGCCAGGCGCAGTGGCTCACGCCTGTAATCCCAGAACTTTGGGAGGCCGAGGCAGGCAGATCACGAGGTCAGGAGATTGAGACCATCCTGGCTAACACAGTGAGACCCCGTCTCTAATAAAAATACAAAACAATTAGCCGGGCATGGTGGTGGGTGCCTCTAGTCCCAACTACTTGGGAGGCTGAGGCAGTAGAATGTTGTGAACCAGGAGGCAGAGCTTGCAGGGAGCCGAGATTGTGCCACTGCACTCCAGCCTGGGCGACAGAGCAAGACTGCATTTCAAAAAATAAATAAATAAATAAAATAAACTTTAATTTTCAACTGAGGGCAATATTTCAGTGAAATGCTCATTAGTCATTCCTTTAAACTGTGTGTGTGAGAGAGAGAAAAATGAAAATTAATCATTTCAAATAATGCAAGATACAGAAGGAACATCACCATGGAACAAACAAAAAAGAGCTTTGTAGCTGGAGGTTTCTACAGTCTTATGTAAACTCGCAATTTGTTCTACAAATCTCTTTGAATAATTTATGTCTCATTAATAGAGACTTGGAATAGCAAAAATACTTCAGAGAGAAATTAATGAGTGTATCATGACTGCATAATAATTTACTTAGGAATTTTCTTAGATAAGAAACGGTTGAACTGGATTCAATTTTTATCATAGCTTATGTAAGACTGCCTCTGTCCCTCCTCTCACATGCCATTGGTTAACAAGCAGACAGTGTGTTCAGGGGCGTTGCCTGCTCATTGGTCTTATAGCCTGTGAGGGAGGAAGAAAGACACATTTGCCAGTCAGGCCAGTGACAGAAATGGATTCGAAACATCAGTGTGTGAAGCTGAATGATGGTCACTTCATGCCTGTCCTGGGATTTGGCACCTATGCGCCTGCAGAGGTAACACTAATGTTTTTAGTGTTGAGAGTTAAAGGAGCAAAGCTAGAGTAAGTGGAAGCTGACCAGGTTGTCAGGCTAGAGTAAGTGGAAACTGACCCAAGTTACTCTGCATGACTTCCCTTTAAACGTCAGTCTTTGTTCTGCAATGCAGTCTGGTCACAGAGTCATCTACTGCTTATTTGGGGCACTTTTTTGTCTTCTGTTTATGTTTATTTCACAGCTTGTCAGAGTCTATAAAACTCAGCAGAAAGAACACGGCCTGACGGTTCCCTCTCTTGAAGATTGATTGCAATGGGAGTGGTTTCTCTGTTTCTTTGTATAGTTGAACAGATATTTACTTCTTCCAAGAAGGCACAATTCAGAGGAATCTTTATGGCAAAAGTTAGTGGAGACAGGTTGCATGAAATCTGTTAGGAGAGTATCACTGTTCTGATGGGCAGCCTCGTGCACCAAACTGTAATACTAGAGCTGGACTAAAAAGAATTTCCCATGTACTACTCTCACCTCTGGGAAAATTACCTGAAAGGATAAAATGTCCTCATTTTAAGAAAAAAAAAAAAAATACTAGAACGTAACAAGGAAAATTTAAATTCTTTGTCTTTGTTTATATGGGTCAGATTTGTATCAAAATATTATAACAGAGAAATTTCTTGTTTCTCTGACAAGAAAATTAATGGAATAGATTTTATTTTCTAGGCTTAGCTCTTTCTACACTGGAAGAAAACTTGTATTTCAAGACTGTCGTGGGAATACAATATGTATGAATAGGGACTAGTTATATAAAATTTGAGTCTCACATTTCTCATCTATATGATATAAGGATTTACAAAGGGACATTTTGAAGACCATTGACAGGAGTGGTTTACTTTGAATTATAAATTAGCATGGAGAAGAAGTAAAGATGAGAACATCACTGAAACTCCAGCCTTGGTAAGCCTTTGAGTGCTCGCACAACAAGGAAATGGTCAAGGATGATATGAGGAGTGGGCTGTGAGACCCAGTATCTAGTTCCTTGTAATTTCGTGGGAAAAAGAAAGCCTCCGAAATACTTTTAAGATGGGAAAACAGTTTGCTTTGTTTCTGTTTTTGTCATTTAAAAGATATGCTTTCAAATCTGTATCCATATTTGTTATGTAAGTCAATAATTGTAACTTTCACTGCAATCATGTTTCCTAAAAGAGTTGACTTGAATTTATGGAGCTGAACCCCATTTTGCTAATCACTTACTCCGTGCAGTCTATTTCTTGTATATACAAATCAATATCCTTAGAGTATACATCTCTGCTCCAAGTATTTAGTTCTGTCATGTAGACAGAATGGCCAAAGGCTGGGTAGAAAAGACAACATAATAGACTGCTATCCATAGATAGACAGGCCTGTTTCCAATATAAACCTGCTGGTATCTGATAAGGTGGATTTCTCTCTATTTCCTAACTTATAAGAATGGTGGCTATAAGTAACTGCTTGTGCAAACTGTGGAGTTTCTGTGCACCTGCTTTCCTTTTGGAGACTGGAAGTTTTGTGTCTGCTAGGCAGAGTGAGTCAATGTAAGCAGTCCCAGACAAAATCTTAATAATGGAGTATGTAGAGAGCATCTCTTGTAGACAACAGTTCACATACATTGACAATATGTGATGCTGGATAAAGTCAGAGCGTTCTGTGCAGCAATATAGTGGGAGAGGAATCACAGGAGCTTACACTGCATTCCTTCATAATTCCTTCCATGTGGCTATTTCCCCTTCCCTCCCTCCCTCCCTCCCTCCCTCCCTCCCTTCCTTCCTCCCTTCCTTCCTTCCCCCCTCCCTTCCTCCCTTCCCTTCTTTCCCTTCCTTTCTTCCCTTCCTCCCTTCCTTTCTTCCCTCCCTTCCTCCCTCCCTCCTTCCTTCCTTTATTTCTCTGTTTCTTTCTCTCTCTCTCTCTTTCCTTTTTCTTCTTTCTTTCCTTCTTTCTGAAATGGAGTCTTGCTCTGTCGCCCAGGCTGGAGTGAGCGGCACGATCTCGGCTCACTGCAAGCTCCGCCTCCCGGGTTTACGCCATTCTCCTGCCTCAGCCTCCCGAGTAACTGGGACTACAGGGCCCTCCACCTCGCCCGGCTAGTTTTTTTGTGTTTTTAGTAGAGACGGGGTTTCACCGTGTTAGCCAGGATGGTCTCGATGTCTTGACCTCGTGATCCACCTGCCTCGGCCTCCCAAAGTACTGGGATTACAGGTGTGAGACACTGAGCCCGGCCATTCCTCGTGTTAATTTCACCATACTAAAAATAATTAAGATTATATCTATAACTATAGGTTGCGTCCTGTTAATTTTTCAAAAAAATCACTGAACCTGAAATTATATTGGGGACAGTTCCAGGTTAGTGATCAAGCAGTGATTTTCTGTGACTGCAGAAGTTCCTGCTATGCCCAACCTTTATTACTAACTGGGAAAGACCCAGGCTGACTGGGATGGACTTATAATTCTACATATAGAACTCATCCAAGAAAGAAGGAAAAGCTGATTTTTGTGAACGTCACTGCTTGTGCCTGAACTAACCCTCAGGCACATTAGTCAGAAAATACTACCTTTGGTTGCTCCCCCAGGTTCCTAAAAATAAAGCTCTAGAGGCCACCAAATTGGCAATAGAAGCTGGGTTCCGCCATATTGATTCTGCTCATTTATACAATAATGAGGAGTACGTTGGACTGGCCATCCGAAGCAAGATTGCAGATGGCACTGTGAAGAGAGAAGACATATTCTACACTTCAAAGGTACCGTGCCTATGATGAGCTTGTGTGCACATATGTTTATGGTAATTGTGTGGAGGTGGCAATTCTATGACTGGATCCATAGTTGAGGGTGAATTGTGCTTATTTATTTCAAATTATTCACAATTATTCATGTAGTAAAACTAAAATCAAAAGCAGGAAATGAAGATGACTTTCTCATCTTTGCAGCGTTCCAATTCATGACTTCAACGTGCCTTTCTTTTCTGAGCTCAGCACAGATCAGTATGGTTTAACATGGAATATAGAATCAGAAAGAATCCTAATCATATTATATTATTACTTACCTCCTGGGTGAGTTTCTTACATTTGTTACGATTCTCAGTTTCCATTATTGTGTTGATCATACCGAGAGAGAAAGCAATATAAGCAAGCTCTGTGAGTATTAAATAATAATGCCTACATTGTCTCAAATTGTGTCCAGCCCAAGTTGACATATTAAAAACTGTGTTTGCTTCCTAAACTTCTAAACCACAAAGATACTTAGTCTTGCCCACTGGGCTGAATAGATGAAATAATTACACTACTAACATGAGTTGTAAAACATACCAAAGATAATTCAGATAATGGGTATGCTTATGATTTGATAATAATTTTTACCCTTTGAGTAATTTCACTCTTTCATTCAATATATGTACTAACAATATATCCAACATATTACAAAGTTCATCAGGATATGGCAGAACGAAAGTCATCACAAGAAGAGAGAGAATAAGTTTGCCTGTGGTCATTGTGAAGTAGTAGAAAATGTCTAAATATTAGGTGGAGCAAACTAGTAAAATTGGCTCAAGTTTTCATTACACAACTTCCTTTCTCTCACCTCTGCAGCTTTGGTGCAATTCCCATCGACCAGAGTTGGTCCGACCAGCCTTGGAAAGGTCACTGAAAAATCTTCAATTAGACTATGTTGACCTTTATCTTATTCATTTTCCAGTGTCTCTAAAGGTAGGCAGCTTGTGTGATCAAATTTATTTCACTTTTGTTGTCAGTATAAATATTGTTCTCATGGATATTTGAACTAAGCATTTTCCTAGATTGTTTTCATGGATATTTGAACTAAGCATTTTCTTAGGAGGACATAGGGATTATAACATGGAAGAAGAGCCCTAAACATAACTCCTAATTCCCTTTCTATTGAATACATTTTGAATCCGTACTTCCGTGATGCATGTCTACAAGAAAAGAGAGTGCAGAATCCTCAAAGCCTCTGCCTCAAAAACTTGAGGAAATGACAATCATCTTGTTGAAGGCACAAGGTCTTAGTTATGACTCCTGAGTTCACCTTTTGGGATGTTAACAGACACAGAGTTTCATGAAGTTGTGGTGTCCAGAAAAGCTGTTGCACATAGGGTGAACAATGAGTTTCCATCTTCTTGCCTCTTTTCAAGGGGCAAGAATTCAGTCTGAGTGTGTCTTAAACTACAAACCTTCATGGGAAACCTTGTTGCTTCTGCTTCCTCTTTTTTCACACTGGAGTTTTTATTTTTGCTTAGCCATGAATTCTTGTGTCATTCATAATTTTGTTTTAAGGTTACAGAAAACTACTCAGACTAGTTAATGCAAGGGTGTATTAGATATAAAAATGGGAAGTCAAAGCCATGGCTACATTCAGAATTTGATAAAATCTCTAAAAATGTATCCTTTCTCCATCCTTATCTCTACTTTATTACAAAAAGCTTTTTAAATATTTGTTCCAACCTTTTTCATTGATGGCATTTATGGCTTTGGAGCACTTTCAGGCTCATGGTCATTACCGTGAGCTCCTGTGCATCTCCCAACTTCCAAACTAGCCTTGAAAACACCTCCATGGACCATGATTGGTTCATAGTCCTGTCCATGGAACATCACATGTTCAGGGAGATAAAGAACTCTGATAGTGGCATCTGGGTCAAAAGTACAATCCTTTATTCCTGGATATCAAGGTCTTTTGCAGTTGAAGAGAGGTATTGTCACAGAGAAAATTATAAGAGCAGAAGAAAGTAATGTAAGTCAATGATGACACTCCATTAGCAACCAGAAAGATGGTATCTATTTATACATATAATAGTTATAAGAGATTAGAAGAAGTCTGTCCCTGAAGACATTCCTCATACCTTCATATGTAGCACACTTTGTACATATCACTCTCAGGAGCATTGCGTCACCTACCTCAAGGAGGATTAGTGTCCTTAAATGTACCCAGAGCATGGCTATGTGTGGGGAAATTTATGTGGGGAAATTGATTTGTGACATCACTAAATTGACTGCTTCTACTTCAGCCAGGTGAGGAACCGATCCCAAAAGATGAAAATGGAAAAGTACTATTTGACACAGTGGATCTCTGTGCTACATGGGAGGTGAGTGCTTGGAGGAGAGCACAGATAAGAAAGATGAGATAGGAGACATCTGGTTCCTATCTTCCAAGTGCAAGAATGGAAAATGCACCATTGGATCAAAAACTTAGGAGTTTTACAAAGGTAGTTTTTGTAAGCAGTAAGGAAAAAGAAATGACAGGCATACAAAAGAGAGAAGTGGAGGAGAAGGGTTGGGGGTAAGGAGGACTGGGATTTCTTTCCTTGCCTGTGCACTAATCTCTCCAGTTTCCTAAGGAGGAAACAAATTCTTCCTCTTGCAATCACTATCTTCTTCCCCAATTTTCTGTTTTATTTTCTCCCTTTTAAGAACCACGGCTACATAGTTTGATTGTCATATCTAGACAGTTGTTTCTTTCACAGTTCTGTGTCACATTTATCTTGATCTTCAGTTGACTACACTAATGACACCTCACAATTCCTTTTCCCCAGGCCATGGAGAAATGTAAAGATGCAGGATTGGCCAAGTCCATCGGGGTGTCCAACTTCAATCGCAGGCAGCTGGAAATGATCCTCAACAAGCCAGGGCTGAAGTACAAACCTGTCTGCAACCAGGTGAGCGCCCTCAGCCTCCTATCTTTTCTACTCTTCATGCCCCTCTTTCTGTCCTATTGCCAAGTATCCATTCGTTTAGTCCCACTTATCTTTGTAAAAGAAAAGATTCTAGAGAGCAAAGCCTCTGTCTAGAAGGGCATAGAGGGCTCCTACAGGTACCCAGCTTAGAAAAGTCTTATGGAAATGTGTTGTAACTTTGATGCTGAATTGTGAGTTATATTTAGGGGAAGTCAGTTCAATCAAGGAGGCCAAGGATTGTCAATTAGATTCAGGGAAAGGTGGACTTACCCCCAAGCTATGAAAGATGACCAGAGAGTGGATGGGTCAAGTTGATTTGGAGGAAATTGTGCATAGATATGAAGCCATGAAAAGATGGAATGAGCAGTACATAAGGAGAGAGTGAGAGCAAGAGAAGAGAAATACTAGGGATTTTCATGGGATTCAGATGTCTCAGTGCCTCTTGGTATCTCTGCTTTCACACTCCTTGACCCAGGGCATAGATACACTAAAAATTATCTGCAGACAATGAAGGTCATCCATGATAGAAAGAGAAACTGACATGTTTATGGAGATATCTGTTCACAGTGGATGAAATCAACGCTGAGGAAGGTTCAGTAGAACATCGAGCTGACCAATGACTGCCCCGCTCCTAGTCTGCTGCTGTTCTTTGGAGTCTGTCACGCAATCAGCTGCTTAAACACATCTATTCTATGCGTGGTTCTTTCATAGCCTAGACATAATTCCATCTTTTCCTTGCATCCTGATTGATGATTCCAGGCCTCCTTGATCAAACTGACTGCCCCCAAGTGTTACACACATTTCAGCATTAAAGTCACCACACCTTTCCCAGTACCTTACACTTTTTTGTTTTATTTCATTTTTTAAAATTTAGAGTTAATAAGTAAAGATCAACAGTGGAAATACATAATGTATAAAATGTGTGAATTTGGTATAATGATATGGTGCCATGATAATTACATAAAAGCAATGAGAAATTAATGTGGTTTTAATACTAGTAGTTCTCCAATATTTTAATATGGCAATTTTCAAACTTTCCAAAAATTTGATAAAAATACTACTGGAGGCCCATGTTACCATTTATGTTCAAAATTACTACCATTTTGCAATGTTATATAGGGGTATATTTGCATAAATATATATAATGTTTCTAGAACCTTTTCCAGGTAAATCGTAAAGATGACAATTGACCCCTAGAAACCTCTCCAAGCATGTCACAGGAATGAAGATATTCTCCCAGTTACAGTGTCATTACTGTATCTAAGAACATCATCTACAGCGCCCTCATGTCATTTGGTATCCAGTCTATATTTGAATTTTCCATTGTTTAATCAAAATGTCTTTTGTAGCTCTTCTTTTTTTAACCAGAATTCCGTTGTTTTCGTACCATTGTATTTTGATATCAGTTAACTGGTTTTTCCCAGTTATTGAAGGTTTCTGTAAATTAGAAGTTAGATGAGAGTGTTTTATTACATTGGTTTAAACCTTTGGGGCAAGAAAATGCTTTTATCGTGCCTTGTTTTTCAAACTGCACCACACTAGACTGCATACAATCACAGAATGCCCCACTAGCAGTGAAGCTAGTTTTAAAAACTTGGTTAAACTAACAATGGTCAGATCTGTTGTTTTTAACACGTTTTCTCTTTAACGATTACTAGTAATCTGCTGGGGGATAATTATCGACAGAATTCGTCATAGTCCCATCACAAATTTTCACATATGATTGAGTATACATCAGTGATTTGAACTTTTTTGTATTGTATTTCTGTTTTCTTGTTTGTTATTTCCTTGGGTTTTTTACAGAAAATTTTCAATTTTAACCACTTGTTTAACTACTCTTACCTGACATTTTACTAAAAATAGTTCTCAACAAGTAAAACTAATAAACTATTATTCCGCTAAGTCCGGGTAAAAGTTAATGTCTTCCTTCAATTAGCAATATACTGAGAATGTAATTACTATAATGACCACCATCAGAGTAGACAAATATTTGTGTTCTTTTTCTCATTCTCTCACTAATTACTATAGACTCATGGATTTTTGTCCTATGCTTTTTAATTCATTTTACTTATTTTTCAATGCTCATATCTACTCAGCAGGTATATATGTACATATATATATATATATATATATATGAGAAAGAAGAATTTGGTCAAAGACTCCTGAGGGTAGGTCTAAAAGACAAAAGCACTTGTTTCACAGGAAACCCACTGGTGACATTTGAGATGTCACCATACAAATCCATCATGCAAAAAGGAAAAGTAATGAAAGATTATTAAAAGTATCAGTATTTATACATATATGTATGTTTTCTAGTTCATCCATTATATATGGATATATATATGTATCTCATAGATGGCATTTATGATATATATAAAATATGTTAGATGAATTAGAAAACATACATATATATGTATACATTTTGGTTATTAATTAGGAAACTAGTCCTTTTGTCTTTCAGACCTGCTCTCATGACTCTTTGACCAAATTCTTGATTTCTGGCGCGATATGATGCCCAAAGCTCAAAGAATCTTACCTCATCCCAGCTCTGAAATTGGCCGTGTCTCCTTCTAGTGGTCAGAGTTAGGGAGAAACCAGGATAGGGTTCGTAGAGTTGCTTGTGCTCAGAAATAACATTTCTGTTTTCTTAGGAGAGAGGGGCATAAAATTTATTTTTATGAAAAAGATCATTTCTTGACAATAATATTCTCAGTTCAAATTTAATGCTCTATATTATTCGGCTTCTTTTACTTTGGTGATTTTAATATTAATACAATTTTTGGATTATCTGATGCTTTTCCATCTTGCTCATCTGCAGGTGGAATGTCATCCTTACCTCAACCAGAGAAAACTGCTGGATTTCTGCAAGTCAAAAGACATTGTTCTGGTTGCCTTTAGTGCTCTGGGATCCCATCGAGAAAAACCATGGTAACAAGAGCAACAGGAATTTTACGTAAAACATTGTTTTGATTTAAAAAAATTTAATTAGCTCATGCTGTTTCCTGGAGTTCACTGACAGCTGATTTGGGATGAGGGAAGAATTTGCATTTCTGACAAGATCCCAGGTGATGTTGAGGTTGCTGTTCAGGGGCCTCACTTGAGAAGCTCTGGTGCAGAGTGGACGCCTTAGTCTGTTTAGGGAGTTACCTCACAAACTGTATCCCCAGCCTCAGGGCTTCAGCATTTCTGCCTTTCCTTCCAGGGTGGACCAGAACTCCCCGGTTCTCTTGGAGGACCCAGTCCTTTGTGCCTTGGCAAAAAAGCACAAGCAAACCCCAGCCCTGATTGCCCTGCGCTACCAGCTGCAGCGTGGGGTTGTGGTCCTGGCCAAGAGCTACAATGAGCAGCGGATCAGAGAGAACATGAAGGTGAGGAGCTGGGCTGTGGGCCGCAGGGCTGCTGCACAGTGTCCTTCACACGTGTACTTCTTGTAAGGCTCTCAGGACACCCTTGGGCCAGCTCCATTTCCCTGTATTTCCTATGCATGAACTCTTTGTGTACATCATAAGGATTTCTTCTACTCTGGCACAGGAGAGGCAACACAGGTGGAGAGAAACAGGATGGCATCAAAACCAGAGATTTGAATTAGCATTAAGTCAGTGATATCCACATCCCTCTGTTAGGGATATGTCCTTTTCTTTATTTTCTATAATGAGGTGTTTGATTAAATGTTTTTTAGTCTCCAAATCGTTGTTGTTGTTGTTGTTTTTGTATATTTATGTAGTATAAATTCCTTATATTTATTCTCTTAGAATTTTATCTTTGTGAATTGTTTCTTTAAGTCTGCCTTTTTTTTTTTTTTTTTTTGTGTGAGGTGGTTGTCTTTATTTTATGTGTAGGAGACCATATTATACCAATATCTAAGGTTATAAAACAAACCCAGTTAACACAGAGGCTTAATGCAAAAGCATTTATTGAGCTCAAGATTCCATGGTTAGAAAATTAGCCTGGGCTCAGCCTAAACTCAGCCCAGTCCTTCTGTTCCTGGCCGGGCTCTCATGTGCATGCAGGGCAGTGAGGCAGCTCTGCTTCAGGATGTCCATGGGGCATCTGTCTGAGCGCCCCCATTTCCCATGCAGTTCTTTATCCTCCAGTCATCCAGCCCAGGGTTAGTCTCAGAACCAGGCACGACCCCAAGGCAGTGAGTGGACACGTGCAAAGCATTTTCATGTCTAGGCTCAGAGCTGCCATTGCTTCTGGGAAATTCTATCACCTAATGCAAGTTATAGGATAGGTCAGACTCAAGGGGTGGGGAAATACACACCACCTCTTATTGTGACCTCTTATTGGAAGGAGCTGGAAATTCATAGAACCAAGCAAGTGGATACAGGGACATGTGATTGTTAGAGGGCATGTTCCTAATTAATCTATCAGTTATATGATATGTGTGAAATACTATATTAATAGGTATATGTATGAATATGAATATATGTAAATTGATGTATTATTTCATATATTCTCAAGAATACATCCAAGTCTCTAAAGAATTAATATCCAAATACATACATATATATGTATGTTTTCTAATTAGTTATATATAGATACATGAAATATGCATCATATGTGGTGTATATATTGTAAATCCTATGTCATATATATGACATATATCACATATATGTATATGTCACTGTTTTCTAAAACCTTAAGTAAAATCAGTGTAGAAATCCATAGGATACTCTGAAATAATGACATAGAGAATGAGAATGAGAAAGTAAAAAATGACAATGAAACAATAGATGAATCTAGGTAATAGCATTCACTATATGATTTTAAAAATATTTTTAGACATTAGAAAACTGACAAAACAAAAAGGAAATGTCATGAAAGACTGTGGAAATTATCAGTATTTATACATGTGTGTATGTTCTCTAATTCATCTAGTATACATAGATATATATGACATATGTGTTATATATGTTCAATTAGAAACCATATATGTATTTATTCTGAATATTAATTCTTTAGAGACTTGAATGTATTCTTGAAATAACATCTTCCAAATTTTACCTGTGTTGTCATATTCTCTGTGGTTATGTTTTCACAAACAAAAGTTTCTATCCTTCATGTAGACTCATTTTTCATGCCTCTTTCTTGTGGTTGGTGAGTTTTGTGTCTTATCCTATATTGGGACTATCACAATATTTTACTGTGTTTTCTTACAAAATTATTAATATTCTTTCCTTATAAATTTGGTTAATTCAAATGGGATTGACTTTTTAAATACTATATGAAATAAGGATCCAAACATGCATACCTAATTTTTGAATTTTTAGCAAAATCTCCCACCAACATTTATTGAAAAGTTCACATTTGCTCACATAACATGATTTTTTTACCTGTAACATATATGAAATTTCCATGAACAATTATCTGGCCTCTCTTCCATCTTCAATTAACTTATTTACTTTTCTGTACTATGATGTTAAAAAGTAAATTTCACTTCCAGTATGTTACAAATATTTTTCTAACTTCATTTATTTAATAATATCTTAGCTATTCTTGACTAATGTGTTATTGAAAATTTTGAATTGTCTTATTAACTTCTGCAAGCAAATACATGTTTTAGTCTCTTCTTGACATTGTAGTAAGCCTGCAGATCAAGGTGGAGAGAACGGAATCTTTGACAATATGGAAATTTCCAATCCATGATCATAATATGAATTTCCCACTTGTTAATAAATGGTATTTTAATAAATATAACATTAACTTCATAACTTTCTCCATTACTGATAATTATAATAGTTTTTGATAACTTTTCATTTTGTTTTGTGGGTTTCCAATATTAGAAATTTTAATAGAAATATTTAAAGAATAATGCAACACATCTTCTTACCTAGATTCATCAAGTGTTACATTGCTGTCATTTTTTACTCTTTCTCTCATTTTCTGTATTACTCCTTCAGTTTCCCTATTGATATATACGCTTATTTGATTTAATGTATTAAGAGTGACGTCTTTTTGATATTTAGAGTCTCCCAAATTTATGCAGGGAGTACCCATGCTTTTTTAATGTGAAATCATTAATATTTAGACAATTACAGGCTTGAGTAATGTTGAAAACTAATTTTTCCTATTATACCTGTGCATTGGAGAGATAGATATTCAACATTAATCATCAAACCTACTAAATTATGCTAGACATTACAAAATTTGCCTCTAGATTCTTGTGCATCTTCTAGGTACATGACCCTATCATGTGGGCACAATGTCAGCCCTGTTTCTTCTTCAGCATCTTTTGAGATATTCTCTTTGTCTGCAGTGTTGTACAGCTTCAAAATATTTTATCTCGGAATGGATTTCTGCTTTACTCTTCATCTGGTTTTCATTGACCCCTTGAGTGTTTAGAGAGGTCTCTCATAAATTTTGGAAACGTATCAATCTCTTAAGTATTGTCTCTGCACCCTACTGTCTGATATACTTGGTGTTTCCCAATTGGCAATGATGTAATCTAAAAATAATTAAAGTTTTCTATTACTTTGATAGGTGTTTGAATTCCAGTTGACTTCAGAGGACATGAAAGCCATAGATGGCCTAGACAGAAATATACGATATTTGACCCTTGATATGTAAGTAATTTTGGTGATGGGTGTCCTAATTTATTTTCAAAAGAAAAATGTAGGATGGGTGTTCAGAGTGACCTCCACAGCAGGGGCACAGAGGCCAATGTGAGACAGAGGTGAGACAGGAGCTTTCTGGACCTCTCCTCCTGGATTCACTCCAGAGCTCTGTTCTCTGGCAGGGAGAGTGGCCCGGGGTCAGCGTGGGTTGACTTGTGCCTCTGCTCTTATGACTTCATGGAACTTTCCAGAGCAGCCAAGATCATTGCTGAATGTGCACCTTCCATGTAGGCCTGGCATTTCTACCACTGTCTAGTGGCCATGCTGCAGATATTGCCCATGTGGTCGCATTAGATGTTTCCAAATTTGTGCTTATATGTTGTTCTTCCCAACCTGCACAATGTCTTACCAGATGAAAGGCAGTTCCACCAACCTTGTGGGCCAGGTTCCAATTCCCACCTACTTCACATGGAATTGCTTGCCAGATCCTGTCAATTTAGCATTTTCAATCTTTTCAAACCTTTTCCCTCCTTTTCTTTGCATCTTTTCCCATGAGCCAAACACAGCATTTGCCTACAAAAATTCTGTCTTAGTGGAGCGAATAGGAGCACTTGGCCTTGATGTTCTGCAATATGGAGATCTCAGTGCAGAGAATGAAGAAATTTTAAAATCAAATGAAGAGTGTAGATGCAAAAGCACCATTGCTGGAGATAATTTATAACCAATAACAGATGTTTACTATTCCTCTGTGTTCTAAGGTTCTAGGATTCATAGAAGGTCACTCAAAAAATGAGGGAAAAAGGAAGTTGTATAACTGATGGCAGTGGAGATTTTAACAACTAATAGAGACGATGAGATAATGTGTGAAAAAAACAAGCACAATGGCATATCATAAGTATGCAAAATTTGGTAGATATTATTAGTAGTATTTTATTATTTAGAGGAAAATAACAAAATGAAAAAGGAAGTCATAAAAAAGAAAAGGAAAAGTGGCAAGCATTAGAATTTTTTTACAACCAATCAATGCTTTCTGGGATTATAAAATCAATGACTAGTGCTATTTCGTAGAATTCAAATATGATCTGGAGTAAACCACTTGCAAGCTTCTGAGTGTTTGCTCTTGGTGTAATCACAAAGGATAGGCTCAATTCCCTAATTAACAAGTAGTAACTGTACATGTGAGCAGTCATTTATCTGTGTCTTTATATTTTGGGTTATTTCTGCCTATAAAATGGTTTATGCATTGTAGCTCTTTGGATATTGGACCCTATATCAAACACAACAATTTACATTTCTGAATCTAACCAAGTGTGTTGCATATGATAGGCAGGTAGTAATATGTTAAGTGATTAAATATTATTGCTAGTATAATTGTCACACTCAAAATTGTTTGTTAGTGATGAGCATGTATCTACCTTATTCCTCTTCAATGTAAGGCAGAATAAGTTCCTGTTTTTACTGAGAATTTGAAATAGAAAAGGTCAGAATATCTCTTTGCTCTGTTGACAGATGTAGAGAAATATGTTTGAACATTTTGACTTTGTGTGTTTTATGTGTTAAGTTCCAGGCAGGGGAACAGAATTAAGTGATTATTTTGAAAATACAGATACAATAAAGTCATGTTCATTAAACTAAGAAACACAGATTCTAGAGCAGTCAGAAAATGAACTTCTTAACATCTACACTACTGGCAGTTTCCTACACTGTGCTACCTGCTAGTAACAGAGTCATTGCCATTCAGAGTATGCATTTTTTTTCTCTTTCCAGTTTTGCTGGCCCCCCTAATTATCCATTTTCTGATGAATACTAACATGGAGGGCATTGCATGAGGTCTACCAGAAGGCCCTACGTGTGGATGGTGACACAGAGGATATCTCTATGCTGGTGACTGGACACGTCGTCTCTGGTTAAACCTCTCCCACTTGACCACTTCACCAAGCTACAGCTAAGCCCATTGGCCAGAAAAGAAAGACAATAATTTTTTTATCATTTTGAAAAAATTAAATGCTCTCTCCTAAAGATTCTTCACCTGCTTTGGTCTCCATAACTTCTATGATTTTTTCCTTCTGACACACTAATGACCCAAAATTGTGATTTGCCTATGTGTTTAGGGCTGGGGTTGGAAGATGATAACAACCATTTAAGATTCATTTCTGCAGTGGGAGTGGGTGGAGGTTCACCCTCTGGGAAAGGGGCAGGTGACAGGTATTGGTCAGTGCCTCTCTAGCTCTTGCTGGAAGAAACACATGCAGCATGGAGTCTACAGGGTGAGCGATATTGACCAGCAATTCATGGCCTCCTTCCAGCAGTGTGAGGGTCAGAGTTTCTGGAGCCTTGGGAGGAGGCATCCCTGTGAGATGTGGCATCAGGGAGGTGGAAGGGCACCCACCAGGAAAAGTGATTAGAAGTCAGGTAGGAGGAGGTTAAATAAGAGAGAGTCAAGCACATCTCCGCTTGTAAAAACATTTCAGTACCCCCTTTTTTTTTTTTTTTGATCATTATTTCTTGTTTATAAAAGGGAAGTTTCCACAATGTTTTAACAAACCCCACAGCTGAGAGTCAGGCATGAATCTTTGATGTGTGCCCAGTCACAGCGTTGACCCTATTGGTCTATGATGGGGCAGGACATCAAAGACATCATTGACTAATCACATTCCCCTGACTACCTCATATTTAGAAAATATTCTTAGATTGTAAAAATGTGCATTTCATTGGTTATATTCAATCTTTTAAATGTTTTAACATTAAGCAAAGCATAGTTACAAGTATAAAACAAAAATATCCCAGAGTCATTATGTATTGCACTCAAGATTAAAATGGGAAATAATAAATCTAATAAATCATGTGTTCCAAGACTTCAAGCATCTTTTGGAAACAGGGTATGTAAAACAGTACACTGTTTTCAAACATTGGTAAATTTTAAGAACAACTCTTACAAAGGCATTTCATTCTTATACATAATTTTCAGGGGAACTAAGTAAATCAGCTAATCATGAAGACATGATTTTCATTTCAGACAACACTTTTGAAAATGTGGGATAGTCTCAGGGCTTAATGATCAAAGCATTTTGAGAACACTGGTTTTTAAGCTGGGCACACTTTCTAACACATTTACCCGCCACTCTTCTTACTCTAGTAGCCACGTTAACCCCTTCAGAGATTCCTTCTCAAGGCATGTCTCAGAGCTGATAGGCATCCCAGCAAGTTTTGCAGCTCACAATTTTTCTGTAAATTACTTACTCTGTAAAATTGGAGGAGGCCATAAACTTTAGAGGGCCCTAGACCAGTTTTTTTGGATTATTTTTGGTCCACTGTCATTCCGTTGATGATCTTAGATATTCTCTGCATTAAATATCACCTCTAGGCAGAGAAACCCCCCCACAAATATTTCTAGCTCAGATTTTTCCTCCAAATTCTACAATGGAAGATCACAGTGTGAACTCTGCATCTCCACATTAAAGTCTAAACGACATTCACACTTAGCAAGTCTCAAAGAAACCTCATGTAAACCACGGCCATCCTGTTCTACCTTAACTTTCTGAGTCTAAGGAATGATAATTTCACATCTCATAAACCCGATTGATATAACTGTCAAGAAAAGATTGACATTTTGTTAAAACTTAGTAGTCAAGTGTGTAAGGCTTAAGCAAACTTTCATATTTCAAATCTCTTTTGCACGTGTAACTCTGACTTCAAGATGTGAAATAATCATTGGGTCAGTCATTTGTAAATACTAAAACTGCTATGGACTTTTTCCAGCTTGTCACCATCCATTTTTATAAAACTCTTATGGTTAAAAAAGAAAAAAAAATTACTCAGAATTTCATAAAGCCAAACACCTGATTTCAGGAACACTTGTGATATAAGAAAATTTTATAGGGACCTCCAATCACTAATTTTACTATTTTTTCTCTCAAAGAAATGCTGAAGGGAAGAATTCAGGTTGAATGAAAGGAAATAGTAACTTATAGCCATATAGAGTTATAAAGACTTCTTGTAAATGTGAATATACGGTAACATAAAATCATGTATTTTTGAAAGTTTGGATTCTACTCATTATTTTACTTCAAGATTTAAAATATAAATGTCTAGAAGTAAGTATAATTCTAAGTTAATATGTGTGCAATGTAGGAAGCTGTAATTACTGACCAAAACCATGTGAAGTGGAGAAAACATGGGGACGTAGATGGTTTTTACATGAAATTGAAGTTAAATTCATATTGATTCAAAGAAAATTATTGTAACTTTATAAAGTTTTTGTCATCTCCACAGCCATCACAAAAAGAATAATTGTAGAATATATGCAAGAGGAAATCAGAAGGGAATCCAAACTTCATTTAAAAAATCACGCAACCTCACACAATGGTAGTAACGGTGGATATGAAGGATAGAAAGCTATAAACCTCGTAGGAAAACACTGAAAATGGCACAAGTGACTCCTTCCCTGTCACCAGTGACAGTCATGTGTTGCATAACGCCTGGACTATCTTCTGAGATTGGCTTTGTTAGGCAACTCTGTCATTATAGGGACATGATAGCATTAGAGATAATTCTCTCAAACACTGTCATGGCCTTATCAACTATGCTTCTGTAATGTTCTAAATCCTTTGCTGCCATTCCAACAATGTTTACAACATTTTCCCAAGAAATGGAATCCATTTCACCAAACCACTTTTCTTGCTCATTCATAAGCAGCATTTCTCGTTTGTTAAAATTACATCATGAGATTGCAAGCATTCTGTAACATTCAAGCTCCAATTTGAATTCTAGTTCTCTTGCTATTTCTACCACATCTGCAATTACTTTCTCCACTGAAATCTTGCATTCCTCCAAGTCATCCATGAGCGTTGAATTCACTTCCTCCAAACTCCTGTTCAAGTTAGTGTTTTGCCCTCCTGTCATGAATCATGAATGTTTTTAATGGCATCTAGAATAGTAAATCTTTTCCAGAAGATTTTCAATTTTCCTTGCCCAGGTTCTTCAGATGAGTCACCAAGGTAGCCGTAGACTTATAAAATGTATTTCCTGAACCATAAAAGAAGAACATCAAAATTACTCTATGATCCATGGGAAACAGAATGCATGTTGTGTTAGCAGGCATGGAAACAACAATAATCTCTTTCAACCTCTGTGTAAGAGAGCTCTTGGTTGATTAGGTACCTTGTCAACAGGCAGTTCTCATTTCAAAAAACTGTTTTGCTTTGCTGAGCAGTAAGTCGTAACAGTGGGCTTAAAATATTCAGTAAACTATTATTTAAGGAGATGTGCTGATATCTAGGCTTTCTTGCTTTATTTATAGAACACTTGCAGAGTAGATATAGCTTAAATCTTAAGGACGCTAGGATTGTTGGAATGGTAAATGAGCATCATGTGTTATAATATAGCTAACCAGGGAGGGGAAAGATCTCTTTTTAAAAGCTACTGAAAGAAATCAGAGATAACACAATGACAAAACAAGTACAAGAGGCAGCAAAAGGTAACAGATGTCAACTATAAGATCTCATCAAGAACTAAGAAAATGGAGAAAAGTACAAGATGGCAGATGGGAGGCAGTGTTAGCATGCCTCTCCCACCTGGAGATTAGAGTGTAGGGATTTACGTTGTGAATTTCTTTTCAAGAACCAATGCAGAGACTTAACAGAAACACGAAAAAATTTCACGTACACTTTGAAGAAGTCACAGGCACAGCCCTACTCCATGAAACAAGAAAAAAACACTACATCCCCAGATTCTGAGGGGACAGAGTTCACTCCAGAGTACACATCCCCACTGGGGATCTGGAAATTCAGGCCACAAGAGAAGGCTTTAATCCTATGCAGAGTGGGAATGCATTTAGGGAGCCAGTGAAATACACAAATAGAAGCAGCAGTGGGAGGTGCCTTGCAGGCATTCTCAGTCTTCAGTGTGAACTCAGGGAAGCCATTCCTGACTATATGTCACAGGGGCCCTTGGCGAAGTCAGCAAATGAGCTCAGAGAAGGGTCACAGGGTAAAAGCAGCTCCCAACTGAATTCTGTGATATAATCTCAAGTGGGGACACGTGCCCTTGAGTAGAACCCACAAGGGAGAGCTGGAAGTGCATTGCAGACATGAGTGCAGAAGCCGGGTATCCAGCCTTGTGGGCAGACCAGGGGGGATGTGGCCTGAAAGCCATGATTATTATCTCTGTGGGGAAGCTGATGGCCTGGGGCTGGTCTGAGTTTTGTGCACAGACTGTCTGGATATAAATCTGGCACTGTTAGCAGAGCATTACATGAATGAAAGGAATGAAAACTGCCTTGCCAACTCCATGGGTGCTGGGTGAGGCTCCCTGTTGGGGGGGCGCACAGCAAGCTATTCAATCTTAAGTACAAGGCATTTGAGGTCGGGGCATGGAAAAATGCTGAGGCACTGTGTGTATGTTATTTGTGCCGAGAATGAAACTCCTTGGCCTTGAAAACAAGACAGGGAGTGGTGTGTGTGGTATGATAAGGAATGCTGAAAACGGCCTCCTGAGAATGAGCTTTGAGTGCTTTTACAAGGCCACAGATGTCTCACGACCTGACCCATGAAGCCATCTAGTGCAGGTTTGTGGTTTAACAAGCCCTTTCAATAAGTACTTGGTGGATGGATGCTGGAGTGGACCTTCTTAGAAGAGCTGCCCCTGCCACCGCCCCGCACCACGCCGCTCAGCTACAATTGTCTGAGAACTCACTGTAAGCTGTAAGCAGCCCACTACTTCCCACTCCCTTTGTGAATTCTTCTGTGCAGCAGAGGCAATGAAACTCTCCTCTGGAACATTACCCCAGCAGCCTGAGAACCACCCCTTCACCCTCACAGGGGCTGCAGCCTGCCTCATCCAAGGAGACTCAGAGTGCAGGACCACCTAACCTTGGACTCACTGGTGGTACCCCTCCACCCACCCTGGTAGCTTAACAGATACACTTTTAGGAGCTTCATAGCCCACCCCACCCCATCCCTCATTGCCTGAGAAATCACTTTCCCTGGGCAACTCAGGGCAAGCTCAAATCCCACTGTTACCACCACAGCTGGTGCTCTTTTGCAAGTGCTACCCCCTAGCTGGAGACCAACCAACACAGTCCACACAGCACCTCTAGGAAGAATAAATAGAACAGTTCCCAGGAAGGAGAAAACACCTGCATGACCTCAGCTATTATCACTGCGTACCACATCCTGACCAACCAGAGGTCTTGAGTGGGTCCACATGACGAGTTCACTGCTCGCATAACCAGCATTCAAGAAGCCAGCACACTAAGCCTATCTACAGCCAGGGAATCTCAGAGTCTACGTCACTCCCCTGCCACCTCAATCAGAGCTGCTGCTGGTATCCACTGCAGGGAGACTGGTGCTGAAAGGAAGCCTGGGCTGGATGGCTGGAGGATGAAGAACTGCATGGAGGAGACGGAGGCACCCCAACAGATGCCCCATGGACATCTTGAAGCAGAGCTGCCTCACTGCCCTGCACACACATGAGAGCCCAGCCAGGAACAGAAGGACTGGGCTACATTCAGGCTGAGCCCAGGCCAGTTTTCCAAACTTGGAATATGAGTTAAATAAATGACTTTATATTAAGCCTTTATGTTAAGAGGGTTTGTTTTATATCCCAAAGTATTCATATAATCCTGATCTCCTCTGCATACAAACAGGACAAACAACGCAATAAAAAAGGGTCCAAGTTAAGCACTTCACAAAGATAAAACTCTAAGAGAATAAATATAAGAAGTGTATACTATGTGAGTATATATGGAAAAGAGAAATTCACAATGACTTGGAGACTAAAGAACACCTAATTAAATTCCTTGTTTTAGAAAACGAAGAAAAGGAGATGTCCCTGGCAGAGGGATACAAAGTCAATTGTCAACTCAATGCTGAAACCCAATCTCTTGTTTTGGTCCCATCCTAATTCTCTCCACCCATGCTGCCTCTCCTGTGATAGAGTGGAAAACCCTTATGATGAACATAAAGCATTTGTGCATAGAATATGCCAGGGAAATGGAGTTGGCCCAAGGGTGTCCTGAGAGCCTTAGAAGAAACACACATGTGAACGACACTGTGCAGGAGCCCTGAGGCCCACAGCCCCGCTCCTCACCTTCATGTTCTCTCTGATCCGCTGCTCACTGAGGCTCTTGGCCAGGACCACAACCCCATGCTGCTGCTGGTAGCGCAGGGCAGTCAGGGCTGGGGTTCACTTGTGGTTTTTTGCCAAGGCACAAAGGACTGGGTCCTCCAAGGGAACCGGGGAGTTTGGGTCCACCCTGGAAGGAAAGGCAGAAATGCTGAGGCCCTGAAGCTGGGGATACAGTTTGTTAGGCGGCTCCCTAAACAGACTAAGGCGTCTACTCTGCACCAGAGCTGCTCAAGCGAGTCTCCTGAACAGCAGCAGCAGCATTACCTGGCATCTCGTCAGAAATGCAAATTCTCTCCTCCCCCGGAGACAGCTGAGATTAACTACAAAAGACTGAGCATGCTTTGATTAAACATTTCTCATCAAAATAGTATTTTAGATAAACTTCCTGTTGCTCTTAGTACCATCGTAAGTTTCGCTGCGATCCCAGAGCACTACGGGCAACCAGAACAATGTCTTCTGACTGGCAAAAATCCAGCAGTTTTCTCTGGTTGCGGTAAGTATGACATTCCACCGGTAGATGAGCAAGATAGAAAAGCATTGGATAGTATGAAACAGTTATGTTAATATTAAAAGGACTAAAGTTAAAAGAAGCTGAATAAATGATGTGTAACATTAAACGTGAACTGTCAAGTAATAACATTTTTCATAAAAATAAATTTATATCCCTGTCTCCTAAAAGCAGCAGCCCTTTCTGAGCACAGACAACTCTAGGAACCTGATCCTGCTTTCTAAATAATTTTGACTACTACAAGGAGACCTGGGATCAGGTAAAATTCTTTTGAGTCTTGGGCATCAAATTGTGCCAGAGAAAAAGAATTTGTCAAAGAGACATGAGGGCAGGTCTGAAAGACAAAAGCACTAGATTCAAAGAAATGTCACTGGTGACATTTGAGCATCAAAATAAAAAGTCTATCTGCTATATAGATGTTAGCATTTAAAAAACAGTAAAATTAATTAAAAATCATTTTAAAAAATCCATGAGTCCACAGTAATGAGAGAGAAAATTAGAGAAAGACCAAAAGTATGTGCCTACTCTGGTGGTGGTTGTTGCATTAAGTACATTCTCAGGACACTGCTAATTAAAGGGAAGTCATTAAATTTTTACTCTGGCCTAGAGAAATAACTGTTTCTTATTTTTACTTAGTGATTCTTTTTTCTTTTTCTTCTTTTTTTTGAGAGGAGTCTTACTCTGTCACCCAGGTTGGAATGCAGTGACTCAATCTCGGCTAGCAGCAACCTCAGCCTCCCAGGATCAAGCAATTCTCCTGCCCCAGCCTCTTAAGTAGCTGGGATTACAGGTACCTGCCACCACAGCTGTCTAATTTTTGTGTTTTTAATAGAGATAGGATTTCACCATGTTGGCCAGGCTGGTCTCAAACTCCTGACCCCAAGTGATCCACCCACCTTGGCCTCCCAAAGTGTTGGGATTACAGGTGTGAGCCACTGCGCCCAGCCAATAATTTTTTTATAGTAAAATGTCAGGTAAGAATATTTAAAGAATATTTAAACAAGTGGTTAAAATTGAAAATGATTTTTAAAAACCCTAAGGAAATAACAAATACAATAAGAAAACAGAAGTTCAAAATCACTGATGTATACTCAATCCTATGTGAAAATTTGACATGGGAATACGACTTCTTGTTGAGAATTATCACCCAGCAGATTAGTAGTTATTGTTAAAGGGAAAACATGTTAAAATGAACAGATCCGACCACCCTTACTAGCTTAACCAAGTGATCAAAACTAGCACGACCACTAGTGCGGCAACCTGTCATTTCATGCAGTCTAGTGTGATGCAATTTGAAAAACACAGCACGTGAAAGACACTTTCTTGCCCAAAAGGCTTAACCTGATGTACTAAAACATTCAAATCTAACTTCTCATTTACAGAAGCTTTTTCAGTAACTTGAAAAAACAAGTTAAACAGTATCCAAATAAAACAATCTGAAAATCACAGCTGAATTATGGTTAAAACAAACAAAAGTTACAAAAATTATTTGATTAAACAATGGGAAATTTGAACATGGACTGGGTATTAAATGACATGAGGGCATTATAGTTAATTTTCTAAGATACAATGACACTGTAACTAGAATATCTTTCTGTTACATGCTTTGTGAGCTCTGTAGGAATAAATTATCATCTTTACAGTTTAGATTCAAAAGGTTCAGAAAATACTATATGCATTTATGCAGATGTATCTTATATATGCCTATATATTTGGGAATGTGGCTAAAGGTCAACAATTTGAATATAAATGGTAACGTGCATGTCCCACACTATTTCAAAGTTCCTTAAGGTTTTAAAAATGCCAAAATAAAAACCTGGAGAACTACGGGGAGGTGACAATGTGCTAGCAGCCCTCACTCTCAGCACCTCCTCGGCCTCCATGTCCATTCTGGCGGCGCTTGAGGAACCCTTGAGCCCGCCACTGCACTGTGGGAGCCTCTCCGAGCTGGCCGAGGCCGGAGCCGGCTCCCTCAGCTTGCGGGCAGGTGTGGAGGGAGAGGCGCAGGCGGAACCGGGGCTGCGCGCGTCGCTCACAGTTCAGCGCGAGTTCCGGCGGGCGCCGCACTCGGAGCGGCCGCCGGCCCGTGACAGTGAGGAGCTTGGAACCAGGGCAGGCAGCTGCGGTGGGTGCACTGAGTCCCCCAGCAGTGCCGACCCGCGGGCGCTGCGCTCGAGTTCTCGCAGGGCCTCACCTGCTTCCCTGCGGGGCACGGCTCGGGATCGTGGACCTGCAGCCCGCCATGCCCGAACCCCCACCCTGCGGTGGGCTCCCTCGCGGTCCGAACCTCCCAGACCAGCACAGCCCCCTGCTCCGGGGCACTCGGTCCCATCAACCGCCCAGGGGCTGAAGAGTGCGGGTGCAGGGTGCCAGAGTGGCAGTCAGCTCCGCCCACGGCCCTACTCCAGGATCTGCTAGGTGAAGCCAGCTGGGCTCCTGAGGTTAGTGGGGACTTGGAGAACTTTTATGTCTAGCTAAGGGATCGTAAATGCACCAATCAGCACTCTGTGTCTAACTCGGGGATTGTAAACATACCAATCAGCACTCTGTCAAAACGGACCAATCAGCTGTCTGTAAAATGGACCAATCAGGTCTCTGTAAAATGGACCAATCAGCAGGATGTGGGTGGGGCCAGATAGGGAAATAAAAGCAGGCTGCCCCAGCTAGTGGCAACTGAGTGGGATCTGTTGTTAGATTGTGGGATGTTTGTTCATGTGTCATAAGTCTTGCTGCTTTTATGAGCTGTAACAGTTGCTGGGAAGGATTGAAGCTTTACTCTTGAAACCAGCCAAATCAGGAACCCATCGCGAAAAATAAACAAGTCCAGATCTGCTGCCTTTAAGAGGTGTAACACTCACGTGCAGGTTTGCAGCTTCTTTTCTGTCAGTGAGACCAGAAACCCACCACAAGGAAGAAGCTCCAGGCACATCCGAACGTCTGAAAGAACAAACTCCGGGCACACTATCTCTAAAAACTGTAAAACTGACTTTGAGGGTCTGCAGTTTCATTCTTGAAGTCGGTGAGATCAAAAACACACCAATTCTGGAGAAACTACTGATGTTAAAACCACCTGAATTTTAGTGGTTTTAGTGGAATATCTTGGGGCTGTGTGTTTTATAATAAATTCACAACTTTTATACTCTAGTTCAATCATAGACCTTTACTGTTGGACTCAAGTTGTAAAAAGTGAGTTTAAACAAAAATGTGTAAGTTATTGGGAAAGGTGCAGTGACCTTAATGCTGAACAGCGAGTAACACTTAGGGAAGACAGTTTGATCAAGGAGGCGTGGAGTTGTCAATTAGAACGCAGAAGAAAGGTAGTAATTAACCCTAAGCTATGAAACCACCATGCATAGAATAGATGTGTTTAAACAGTTGATTACATGACAGACCCCAAAGAAGACCGGCAGACTAAGAGTGGGGGCAGTCATAAGTCAGTTTGATGTTCTGCTGAACCTTCCTCAGTGTTAATTTCATACACTCTGAACAGTCATCTCTAAAAAGTAATTCTCTTTCTATCATAGATGGCTTTCATTGTCTGCAGCTAATTTTTAGTGTTGCTAAGCCCTTGGTTAAGAAATGTGAAAGCAGAGATACCAAGAGGCACTGAGATGTCCAAACCCCATATAAACCCCTACTACCTCTCTCCTCTTATTCTCAGTTTCTCCTAATGTAGTGCTTATTTCATATTTTTATGGCATTATATCTATGCAGAGTCTCTCCAAATCACCTTCACCTATCCACTCTCTTGGTCGTCTTTCATAGCTTAGGGTTAAGTCTACCTTTCCCGGATTCTGACAATCCTTGGCCTCCTTAATCAAATTGACCATCCCCAAATGTTACACAATTCAGTATTAAAGTTGTTCTGCCTTTTCACTAAGACTTTTCCAAGCAGGGTACAAATAAGAGCCCTCCATGCCCTTCTAGACTGATGCTTTGCTTTTGGGAATCTTCGGTTTCAGAAAGGTAAGTGGGACTGAAAAAATGAACACAAGGCAGTAGTACAGAAAAATGAGCAGGGATAAGAGAAAGGAGAGGAGGCTGACGGCATTCACCTGGTTGCAGACGGGCTTCTACTTGAGCTCTGGCTTGTTGAGGATCATCTCAAACTGCCTTCAGTTGAAGTTGGACACCCCGATGGACCTGGCCAATCCTGCGTCTTTACACTTCTCCATGGCCTGGGGAGAAAAGGATAGTGAAAAATCATTTGTGGAATTGGCTGCAGATCAAGATAAATACAAGGTAGAAGTGTAAAAGCAACAACTCTTAGGATATGACAAACTAGCTAGCAGTGATTGTCAAGAAGAGAAAAATTAGCAGTGATTGTCAAGAAGAGAAAAATTAAAACAGATAATTGGGGAATAATATAGTGAGAACAAGAGTAAGAATTTCTGTTTTACTCCTTAGGAAACTGAAGGGATTAATGCACAGCAAAGGAAAGGGGTCCCTGTCATCTTTTTTCCCCAATTCTTCTCCTCCCCTATGACCTGTTGAATTCCTGGCATGGGTTTTATTCCCCACAACTCAGTAAAGCCACCTTTGAAAGCTCCTAATTTTCTGGATGAATGGTGCATTTCCCATTCCCGCACATGGAAGACGGAAACCAGATGTCTCCTGTCTCATCTTTTGTATTTGTGTCCTCACCTCGTAGCACTCACATCCCACGTGGCACAGAGATCCAGTGTGTCAAATAGTACCTCTCCATTTTCATCTTTTGGGATCAGCTCCTCACCTGACTGAAGTAGAAACAGTTTAGTGATGTCACAAATCAAGTTCTCCACACATAGCCATGCTCCCAGATACATTTAAGGACACTAATCCTCCATGAGGTAGGTGAAGCAATGCCCCAGAGAGTGATATGTGTGTTACATATGAAGGTATAAGGGATGTCTTCAGGAGACAGGCTTCCTCTAATCTTTTACAACTATTGTATGTATAAATAAATGCCATCTTTCTGGTTCCTAATAGAGTGTCATCATTGACTTACATTACTTTCTTCTGCTCCTATAATTTTCTCTGTGGCAGTGCCCCTCTTCAACCGTAACAGACCTTGATATCCAGGAATAATGGGTTGTACTTTTGACCCAGGGGCCACTATCATAGTTCTTTATCTCCCTGATGATGCGATGTTCCATGGACAGGACCATGAACCAATATGGTCAATGGAGGTGCGTTTCAAGGCTAGTTTGGAAGTTGGGAGATCCACAGGAGCTCACTTATGGTAATGACCATGAGCCTGAACGTGCTGCAAGCCGTAATTGTCACCAATGGAAAAGGTTGGAACAAATTTTTTTAAAAAAATCCTTTTGTCATAAAGCAGAGAGAAGAATGGAGAAAGTATATATTTTTAGAGATTTTATTAAATTATTAATGTAGCCCTGATTTTGACTTCCCATTTTCAAATCTAATACATTCTTGCATTCAGTAGCCTGAGTAGTTTTCTGTAACTTTAAATCAAAGGTTACAAATGACACAAGAATTCATGGTTAAGCAAAGATAGAAACTCCAGTGTGAAAGGAGAGGGAGCAGAAACAACAAGGTTTCCCAAGTCTACGTGAAAGTTTGTAGTTTAAGACGCAACCGGCCTGAATTCCACCATATCTGTTTACCCTTGAAAAGAGGAGTGAGGATGGAAACTCATTGTGTACCATGTGTGCAGCAGCTTTTCTGGACGTCACAGTTTCATGAAACTCTCTGTGAACATCCCAAGAGGTGAACTCAGGAGTCATAACTACGACCTTGCGCATTCAAGGAGATGATTGTCATTGCCTCAAGTTTTTGAGGCAGAGGCTTTGAGGATTCTGCACACTCTTGTGGTTGTGCATCAGAGTAGTAGGGATTCAAAATTTATTCAGTAGAAAGGGAATTAGGGTTATGTTTAGGGTTCTTCTTCCATGTGATAATCCCTATATCTTCCTAGGAAAACAATTAGTTCAACCATCCATGTAAACAATGTCCATGCTGAGAACAGAAGTGAAACTAATTTTGTCACACGAGTTACATACCTTTAGAGAGACTGGAAAATGAATAAGATAGAGGTCAACAAAGTCCAGTGGAAGATTTTTCCGTCCCCTTTCCAAGGCTCATCAGACCAAATCTGGTTGATGGGAAGTGCACCAAAGGTGCAGAGGTTAGAGAAGGGAAGTTGTCTTGAAAGAAAACTTGAGCCAATTTTTACGAGTTTGCTCCACCTAATATTTAGACATTTGCTCCAGCTAATATTTTCCAGTACTTCAAAACCAATAACAAGAGGCAAAATTATTCTCTCTTCTTGTGATGCCTTTTGTTCTGTCATCATATCCTGATGAACTTTATTATATGTTGGATATATAGGTAGTACATATACTGGTGACAGAATGAAATTACTCAAAAAGTGAAAATTTTTATCAAGTAATAATCATGCCCATAATCTAAATTATCTTTGTTATGTTTTACAACTCATTTTAGTAATGTAATTCTTTTATCCTTTCAGCTCCATGGGCAAGAATAAGTATATGTGGTTCACAAACAGAGGAGGTAAGCAAAGTTTTTAATATAACAACTTGGGCTGGACACAATTTAAGATACTGGAGGTATCATTATTTAATACTCACAGAGGTCACTTATATTGCTTTCTCTCTCTCTGATCAAAATGATAATGAAAACTCAGAATCATAACAAATGTAAGAAATTCACCCAGGAGGTAAGAAATACCATAATATGATTAGGGTTTTCTCTGATTCTATAGTCTGTGTCAAACCATATTGATCTGTGCTGAGCTCAAGAAAGTAAAGGGACATTGAAGTGAAATTTGAGAACAAAGCCATCATCATTTCCTGCCTTCAATTTTAGTTGTAATACATGAATATTTGTGAATAAATTGAAATGAATAAGCACAATTCACCCACAACTACTGATCCAGTCACAGAATTGTCATCTCCACACAATCACATTAAATACCTGGGCAAACAAGCTCATCACAGGCACAGTACATTTGAAGTATAGAATATGTCTTCTCTCTTCACACTGCCATCTAAACTCTTGCTTCAGATGGTCTTTCCAACCTGCTCCTCATTATTGTAGAAATGGGTAGAATCCAGCTTCTACTGCCAATTTAATGACCTCTGTAGCTCTATTCCAAAGAACCTGGAGGAGCAACTAAAAGTAGTTAGTATTTGCTGATTGATGTGCTTGGGAGGTAGTTCAGGTACAAGCATTGACCTTGACATAAATGAGTTGTTCCTCATGTCTTGGATCAGTTCTCCATGCAAGATCACAAGCCCATCCCAGTCTGCCTGGGTCTTTCCTGGTTGGTAATGAAGATTGGGCATCCCAGGAACTTCTTCATTACGAGAAAATCACTGGTTGACCACTGGCCTGAAGGTTCCCAAGAACACATCCAGTTTTGGAAATTTGCTGTAAAAATCAACAGGACTCAACCTACTCTTATAGATATAATCTTAATGAGTTTCAATGTAGTGAAATTAACACAAGAAAAAAGGCACGTGGAAGGAATTATGAAGGAATACAGTGCAAGCTCCTGTGATTCCTGTCTCATGATCTTGCATGGAACACACTGACTTCCTCCAGCATCATATTTTGACGATATATGGAAAGTGTTGTCTACAAGTGTTGCTCCCCATATATCCGTTCCTAAGATTTTCACTGGTTGCTGGTTACATTGACCCATTCTACCTAACACAGACAAAAAGTCCAGTCTCCCAAAGGAAAGCAGGTGCACACAAGCCCCACAGTTTGCACAAGCAGTTACTTACAGCCACCATCTTTTTCAATTAGGAAATAGTGAGAAAACCACCTTCTCAGATACCAGCCAGGTCCGTTTTGGAAATAGGCACATCTATGGAGAGCAATCTATTATGTTAATTCTTTTCTACACAGCCATTAGTCATTCTGCCTGCATGACAGAACTAAATACTAGGAGTAAAGATGTAGGATTTAAGGATGTTGATTTATAGATAAAAAATAAACTGCAGACAGTAAGAGATTAAAGTGGGTTTCAGATCCGAAGTTAAAGTCAACTCTTTTAGGAAAAAAATCAAATTGCAGTGACATTTACAATTATTGACTTATGTAATAAATTTGGGAGCATATTCGAATGTATATATTTTAAATGCAGAAACATAAATAACACAAAGTATTTTCCCTGTTTAAAAGTATTTCAGAAGCTTTCTTTTTTCCCATGAAATTACAACAAGTTAAATACTGGGAGTCACGGCCCTGTCCTCATAGCATTCTTGATCTTTTCTTTGCTATGTGAACACTCAGAGGCTTATCAAGGCTGGAGCTTCAGGGGTGTCCCCATCCTTACATCCTCTCCCTGCTTATCTATATTACAAAGTAAACCATCCCTGTCCATGGTCTTCAAAATATATATGTAAGTCCTTACAACTTATAGTTGAAAAAGTGAAGCACAAATTTGGTGTAACTAGTCCCTATTCACACACTTTGTAGTGACAGGACAGTCTTGGGATACAAGCGTTCTTCCAGTGTAGAAATAGTTCAGTCTAGAAAATAAACTCTGAATTTTGTTCACTTGCGTGTCAGAGGACCAACTTACCATTTTCATACAAATCTGATGCACACTAACGAGGACCAAGAATTTAGACTTTCTTAACTAGGTTCTATTTTTTTTTCTCAAAATGAGGATATTTTTCCTTCCATGTAATTTTCCCAGAGGTGAGAATAGTACTTGGGAAATTCTCTTTAGTCCAGGTCCGGTATTACCATGTAGTTCACAAGATCACCCATCAGAACAGTGATACTCTCCAAATAGATTTCATGCACCCTATCTCCATTAACTTTTGCCATAAAGATTTCACTGGATCATGTCCTCTTAGAAGAAGAATATATTTATCTTACTATAGAAAGAAACAGCGAAACCACTCCTATTGCAATTAATACCTAAAAGAGGGGAGCAGACGGCAGTGTTCTTCCTACTGGGTTTCATAGATTCTAATAAGTTGTGAAATAAACATGAATGGAAGACAAAACAGTGCCCCAAATAAGCAGTAGATGACCCCTTGACCAGACTGCATTGCAGAACAAAGATTCACGTTTTCTCTTTGTACACAGAGCACAGCTCTACCCTAGGGAAACTAAGACCACGGCAGTCATGCAGAGCACACAGGAACACAAATCAGCTTCCACCTATTCTAGCTTTGCTCCTTTGAACACTCAACACTAAAAATATTATTATTACCTCTAGAGGTGCACCAGTGCCAAATTCCAGGACAGGCACAAGGTGACCATCATTTAGCTTCACACACTGATGTTTTGAATCCATTTCTGTCACTGGCCTACCTAGCAAATGTTGTTTCTTTCTTTTTCCCTCACAGGATATGAGAACACTGGATGGGCAATGCCTATCTCTGCATACTGTTGAATGGTTAACTAATGGCACATAAAATGAATTATGTAGGCAGTCTTACACAGGCTGTGAAGAAATCCAGTTGTGAGGTTACAAAAACACAAGCAAGAAAATAAAAACAGACACATGTGACTTAATTGAACTAATAAGCTTCTATAAAGCACTGTGTATAATAGTGTGTGAGTTCCTTAGTTGTAGAGAGGCTATGTGCACTGGCTTTCCCAGATGTGGGTTGTAGTAGTTTCATAGTTGGTGGGTGGTCAAGTTCACTGTCTCCTTGGGGTTGAAGTGGCAAGTGTCTTTTGAAGTTTCTCTCATTCTCCTGTGATGCACATTTTTTACTTTTTAAATTTTCCCTCAGTATTTTACTTACTGAGTTGATGAATCAGGCTTCAGGCCAGTAGAGAAGGTATGCTGGGATAGGCACTGTTTGTAGCTAAAGCAGATGTGTAGATGTAAAGCCCAATCGTGGGCAGAGGTCCTGGCCTTGATGAAGGTGGTTAGGGGACGTCTCAGTTAGATGTGGTGAGGTTTCATCATGGTAAAGAATGGGAGCTTACTCAGCTCCCCTGCCAGGTCAGCAGGAAAGCTATCCCCATCCTAGCTTCACTCCTGTCCCAGGGTTCCGGCTGTTCAGATCAGATAGGCACCTCTTCTCATCTATAGAAATGTTGGTGTTCCAAGTTGGGAAGAATTATGACTGCCTCTTGTGCAAGCCTGCATCTGGAGAGTGCTTCTCCTGTGGGGGTGCAATCATCATGAATTGTTCCAGGAAGGTTGTCTATAGGTGTATGCACTCTGTGTTCCTGTGGGAGTAGCCCCAGTTGTGTCTTCAGTGGTACATCAGCGGGGAACAAGGACCGCTTCTCCAGGACCTTTCTCAGTCACAGAAGCTGCCTGCCTGTTGGGGTAAAGGTGCAGGCTTTTCCTACTGCACCCAGCTCTGCAATTGTTTGTCTGCTGTAAGAAATTTCCCAACAACGGGAAGACTTGGGACTCAAGGGGCTGCCGTTCAGGTTTTTCTGTCCCACTGGTGTTCCCTTATGCAGTACTCTCTTCCCTTCCATCGAAATGGGACTTCCAGAGAGCTGGACTATGGTGATTGCTACTGCTCTTCCGGGCCTACACACCCAGTGGGGCTCCCAGACTCCAGGCTGATGCTGGATTTGTTGGCAAAGGATCCAGTGAGATGACCTGTCCTCAAGTCTCCCAGCAGTGGATACCAACACCAGCTCTGATTGAGGTGGCAAGGAACAACACAGACTCAGAGATTCCTTGGATGCAGATAAGCTTAGTGTGCTTGAATGCTGGTTATGTGAGCAGTGAAGTCGTCATGTGGGCCCATTCAAGACCTCTGGTTGGCCTGGGTGTGGTACACAGTGGTAATAGCTGAGGTCATGCAGGTGTTTTCTCCTTTCTGGGAACAGTTCCCTTTATTCTTCCTAGAGGTGCTGTGTGGACTGTGTTGGTTGTTCTCCAGCTAGGAGGTGGCACTTGCAAAAGAGCACCAGCTGTGGTGGTAGCAGTGGGATTTGAGGTTGCCCTAAGTTGCCCAGGGAAAGTGGTTTCTCAGGCAATGAGAGATGGGGGTCGGGAGGCTATGAAGCTCCTAAAAGTGTATCTTTGTGTTTAGCTACCAGGGTAGGTGGAGGGGTACCACCAGTGGGTCCAGGGTTAGGTTGGTCTGCACTCTGAGTGTCCTTGAATGAAGCAGGCTGTAGCCCCTGCGAGGGCCAGGGGGTGGTTCTCAGGCTGCTGGGGTAATGTTCCAGAGGAGAGTTTCCCTGCCTCTGCTGCACAGAAGAGTTCACAAAGCGAGTGGGAAGTAGTGGGCGGCAGTGAGCCTCAATCAGCACCCATGGAGTTGGCAAGGCAGTTTTCATTCATTTCATTCTTGTAATGCTCGACTAACAGTGCCAGGTTTACATCCAGGCAGTCTGTGCACAAAACTCAGACCAGCCCCAGATCATCAGCTTTCCCACAGAGATAATAACCATGGCTCAGGCCATGTCCCTCCCGGTCTGCCCCCAAGGCTGGACACCCACCTTCTGCGCTCATGTCTGCAATGCACTTCCAGCTCTCCCCTGTGCGTTCTGCTCTAGGGCACGTGACCCCACTTGAGATTATATCACAAAATTCAGTTGGGAGCTTCTTTTACCCTGTGACCCCTCTCTGAGCTCATTAGCTGACTTCTCCAAGGGCCTCTGTGATATGTAGTCAGGAAAGACTTCCCTGGGTTCACACTGAAGACTGGGAATGCCTGCAAGGCACTTCCTGCTGCTGCTTCTGTTTGTATATTTTGCTGGCTCCCTAAATCCATTCCCGCTCTGCATAGGATTATAGCCTTCCCTTGTGGCCAGAATTTCCAGATTCCCAGTGGGGATGTGTGCTTTGGACTGGGCTGTCTCCCCTCAAAATGTGGGGATGTGATGTTTTTTGCTTGTGTCATGGAGTAGGCTGGTGGTCCCTGCTTCTTCTTCAAAGTGTATGTGAATTTTTTGGTTGTTGATTTTTCTGTTAAGTTCCTGCATCAGTTCTTGCAAAAAAGTTCACAGTGTAAATCTACACACTAATCTGTCCTTCCAAGTGGGAGAGGCATGCCAACACTGCCTCCCATCTGCCATGTGGTAGTTTTCTCCATTTTCTTCGTTCTCAATGAGATCTCTTTGTTGGCATTCGTTACCTTTTGCTGCCCCGTGTACTTGTTTTTCATTTGTGTTATCTCTGATTTCTTTGAGTAGCTTTTAAAATTTTTCTTGTAGAGATCTTTCCCCTCCTTGGCTAGCTATATTCCTAAGTGTGATGTTCATTTACGATTCCAACAATCCTAGGGTCCTTAAGATTTAAGCTACATTTGCAATGCAAGTGTTCTATAAATAATCAAGAAAGCCTAGATATTTCAGCCACATCTCGTTAAATAAAGGTTTACTGAATATTTTAAACCCACTGTTAAGAAGTCCTGTTCAGCAAAAGAAAAACAATTTTTTGAAAATAGGACTGCCTTTTGGCAATGTACCTAATCAACCAATAGCTTTCTTTTTTTTTTTTTTTTTTTTAATTTATTTATTATTATTAAACTTCAAGTTGTAGGGTACATGTGCACAACGTGCAGGTTTGCTACATATGTATACTTGTGCCATGTTGGTGTGCTGCACCCATCAACTCGTCATTTACATCAGGTATAACTCCCAATGCAATCCCTCCCCCCTCCCCTCTCCCCATGATAGGCCCCGGTGTGTGATGTTCCCCTTCCCGAGTCCAAGTGATCTCATTGTTCAGTTCCCACCTACGAGTGAGAACATGCGGTGTTTGGTTTTCTGTTCTTGTGATAGTTTGCTAAGAATGATGGTTTCCAGCTGCATCCATGTCCCTACAAAGGACACAAATACAAAGGACACAAACTCATCCTTTTGTTATGGCTGCATCAGTACTCCATGGTGTATGTGCCACATTTTCTTAATCCAATCTGTCACTGATGGACATTTGCTGGATTCTAAGTTCTTGCCATTAGAATAGTGCTGCAAATAAACATATCGCAGCATGTGTCCTTATAGCAGCATAATTTATAATCCTTTGGGTATATACCCAGCAATGGGATGGCTGGGTCATATGGTACATCTAGTTCTAGATCCTGAGGAATCACTACACTGTTTTCCAAGGGCCGGTTGAACTAGGTTTACACTCCCACCAACAGTGTAAAAGTGTTCCTATTTCTCCAACATCCTCTCCAGCACCTGTTGTTTCCTGACTTTTTAATGATCGCCATTCTAACTGGTGTGAGATGCATTCCCATTGTGGTTTTGATTTTTGCATTTCTCTGATGGCCAGTGATGATGAGCATTTTTCATGTGTCTGTTATTGTGTGAATGTTTTCTTTTGAGAAATGTCTGTTCATATCCTTTGCCCACTTTGGATGGGGTTGTCGTTTTTTTCTGTAAATTTGTTTGAGTTCTTTTGTAGGTTCTGGGACATTCGCCTTGTCAGATGAGTAGATTGCAAAATTTTCTCCCATTCTGTAGGTTGCCTGCTCACTCTGATGGTATAGTTTCTTTGCTGCAGCTCTTTAGTTTGATGAGATCCCATTTGTCAATTTTGGCTTTTGCTGCTGCTGCTTTTGGTGTTTTAGACATGAAGTCTTTGCCCATGCCTATGTCCTGAATGGTACTACCTAGGTTTTCCTGTAGGATTTTTATGGTATTAGGTCTAACATTTAAGTCTCTAATCCATCTTGAATTAATTTTCGTATAAGGAGTAAGGAAAGGATCCAGTTTCAGCTTTCTACTTATGGCTAGCCAGTTTTCCCAGCACCATTTATTAAATAGGAATCCTTTCCCATTTCTTGTTTCCTCTCAGGTTTGTCAAAGATCAGATGATGTAGAGATGTGTGTGGTATTAGTTTCTGAGGACTTGTTCTGTTCCCATTGGTCTATATCTCTGTTTTGGTACCAGTACCATGCTGTTTTGGTTATCAGCCTGTGTTAGTTTGAAGTCAGGTATGCTTGATGCCTCCAGCTTTGTTCTTTGACTCTAGGATTGTCTTGGAGATGCGGGCTCTTTTTTTGGTTCCATATGAACTTTAAAGCAGTTTTTTCCAATTCTGTGGAGAAGCTCATTGGTAGTCATGATGGGATGGCATTGAATCTATATAAATTACCTTGGGCAGTATGGCCATTTTCACGATAATTGATTCTTCCTATCCATGAGCATGGTATGTTCTTCCATTTGTTTGTGTCCCTTTGATTTCACTGAGCAGTGGTTTGTAGTTCTCCTTGAAGAGGTCCTTTACATCCCTTTGTAAGTTGGATTCCTAGGTATTTTATTCTCTTTGAAGCAATTGTGAATGAAGTCTATTCCTGATTTGGTTTCTGTTTGACTGTCACTGTGTATAAGAATGCTTGTGATTTTTGCACATTACCTGTATCCTGAGACTTTGCTGAAGTTAAGTGATCAGCTTTTAAGGAGATTTTGGGCTGAGATACTGTTTCTAAATATACAATCATGTCGTCTGCAAACAGGGACAATTTGATTCTTCTTTTCCTAACTGAATCTCCTTGATTTCTTTCTCTTGCCTGATTGCTCCTAGCGCCAGAACTTCCAACACTATGTTGAATAGGGAAAGTGGTGAGAGAGGGCATCCCTGTCTTGTGCCAAGCCAAAGGGAATTTTTCCAGTTTTTGCCCATTCAGTATGATATTGGCTGTGGGTTTGTCATGCAAATAGCTCTTATTATTTTGAGGTACGTTCCATCAATACCGAATTTATTGAGCTGCCAGCATGGAAGGGCTGTTGAATTTTGTCAAAAGCCTTTTCTGCATCTATCTGGGACACATTTAAAGCAGTGTGTAGAGGGAAATTTATAGCACTAAAATGCCCACAAGAGAAAGCAGGAAAGATCTAAAATTGACACTCTAACATCTAATTAAAAAAGAACTAGAGAAGCAAGAGCAGACGACATTCGAAAGCTAGCAGAAGGCAAGAAATAACTAAGATCAGAGCAGAACTGAAGGAGATAGAGACACAAAAAACCTCCAAAAAATCAATGAATCCAGGAGTTGGTTTTTTGAAAAGATCAACAAAATTGACAGACCACTAGCAAGACTAATAAAGAAGAAAAGAGAGAAGAATCAAATCGACGCAATTAAAAATGATAAAGGAGATATCACCACCGACCCCACAGAAATACAAACTACCATCAGAGAATACTATATAAACACTTACGAAATAAACTGGAAAATCTAGAAGAAATGGATAATTTCCTGGACACTTACACTCTTCCAAGACTAAACCAGGAAGAAGTTGAATCCCTGAATAGACCAATAGTAGGCTCTGAAATCGAGGCAATAATTAATAGCCTAACAACCAAAAAAAGTCCAGGACCAGATGGATTCACAGCTGAATTCTACCAGAGGTACAAGGAGGAGCTGTACCATTCCTTCTGAAACTATTCCAATCAATAGAAAAAGAGGGAATCCTCCCTAACTCATTTTATGAGGCCAACATCATCCTGATACCAAAGCCTGGCAGAGACACAACAAAAGAGAATTTTAGACCAATATCCCTGATGAACATCGATGCAAAAATCCTCAATAAATACTGGCAAACCGGATTCAGCAGCACATCAAAAGCTTATCCACCATGATCAAGTGGGCTTCATCCCCGGGATGCAAGGCTGGTTCCAACATTCGGCAAATCAATAAACATAATCCAGCATATAAACAGAACCAAAGACAAGAACCACATCAACCAATAGCTTTCTTACAGAGAGGTTGAAAGAGATTACTGTGTTTCCATGCCTGATAACACAACATGCATTCTGTTCCCCATGGATCATAGAGTAATTTTGATGTTCTTGTTTTGTGGTTCAGGAAATACATTTCATAAGTCTATGGCTACCACAGTGATTGGTCTGAAGAATCTGGGCAAAAAAAAATTGAACACCTTCCGGAAAAGATTTACTATTCTAGATGCCATTAAAAGTATTCATGATTCAAGACAGGAGGGCAAAACATTAACTTGAACCGGAGTTTGGAGAAGTGAACTCAGCTCTCATGGATGACTTGGAGGAATGCAAGATTCAGTGGAGAAAGTAATTTCAGATGTGGTGGAAATAGCAAGGGAACTAGAATTCAAATCGGAGCTTGAATGTTACTGAATGCTTGCAATCTCATGATGCAATTTGAACAAATGAGAACTGCTTCTTATGGATGAGCAAGAAAAGTGGTTTGGTGAAATGGATTCTATTTCTTAGGAAAATGTGGTAAACATTGCTGGAATGACACCAAAGGACTTAGAATATTACAGAAGCATAGTTGATAAGGCCATGACAGTGTTTCAGACAATTATCTCTAATGCTATCATGTCCCCACTATGACAGAGTTACCTAACAAAGCCATACTCAGAAGATAGTCCAGTTATTATGTAACACGTGACTGTCATTGGTGACAAGGAAGGAGTCACTTGTGCCATTTTCAGTGTTTTCCTGCCAGGTTTACAGGTATCTGTCCTTCATATCCACCATTACCATTTTGAGAGGTTGCATGACTTTTTTAAATGATGTTTAGATTCCCTTCTGATTTGCTCTTGCATATATTCTACAATTATTCTTTTTATGATTGCTATGGAGATGACAAAATCTTTATAAAGCTATAACAATTTTCTTTAAATCAATATGAATTTAATTTCTTGTAAAAACCATCTACTTCCCCAGGTTTTCTCCACTTCAAACAGTTTTGGTCAGTAATTAATTTCCTACAATGCATACATATTAACTTAGAATTATACTTATTTCTAGACATTTGTATTTTAAATCTTGAAGTAAAATAATGGGTAGAATCCAAACTTTCAGAAAGGCATGTTTTTATATTTTACCATATATTCACATTTACAAGAAGTCTTTATAACGCTACAAGGCTGTAAGTTACCATTTCCTTTCCTTCAACCTGAATTCTTCCCTTCAGCATTACTTTGAGAGAAAAAAATAGTAAAATTAGTGAGTGGAGGTCCCTGTAAAATTTTCTTTCATAGCAAGTGTTCCTGAAATCAGGTGCCTGACTTTATGAGATTCTGAGTAACTTTGTTTTGTAACAATAAGAGTTTTATAAAAATGGATGGTAAAGAACGGGAAAAAACCCATAGCAGCTTTAGTATTGACAAATGACTGACCTAATGATTATTTCACATCTTGAAAACAGAGTGACACGTGCAAAACGGATTTGAAATATGAAAGTTTGCTTAAGCCTTACACACTTGACTACTAAGTTTTAACAAAATGTCAATCTTAACTTGACAATGACAGCAATCAAGTTTATGAGATGTGAAATTATCATTCCTTAGACTCAGAAAGTTAAGGTAGAACAGGATGGCCGTGGTTTACATGAAGTTTCCTTGAGACATGCTAAGTGTGTATGTCCATTAGACATTAATGTGGAAATGCAGAGTTCACATTGTGATCTTGCATTGAAGATTTGGAGGAAAAATCTGAGCTAGAAATA